GTCCGTCGGTCCGTGTGTCCGTGTGTCCGTGTGTCCGTCTGTCCGTCTCTCCGTCTGTATTTAATTCAGACTAGAATCTTACTGAAGATATTGCCTCGTATCTTATTTGAGTTTTTGATTAACGGTCGTTTAAATGCTATTCGGCAAACATGACCTGAAGCTTCACGGATTACTTTTCAACCATATAATGGTAGTAAATAGAGAATATTGCATGGCTGCGCGGAAATACTAATTTTCTAATATCCGAGTGTTGAGGTGATTTCTTACGAGTGAGCGCAGTGAATGTGATATTCTGTTTAAATAATTGGTTATGATTATGGAACCTTTATCCAAACAGGGTGGCCCAAACATTCAGTTAAAAGCTGGTATCCAGAGGGGCCCTGTACTACATAAATCTATACAAATAATAACAATAAAATATATACACCTAATTGAAAAAACGTAGTAGGGTACTTCGAGAAGGTCATATCATTGAAGCTAAGACCGAAAAGGATTTTGTGTACTCCGAAATGTGTATTATATTTGAATATAGACATGTAAAAATGCACAGTAGAGCAAAGTCGGTCGAAATAGATTAACAACATGCCAAAGCTATGATGCATAAAATGTACACAGGAAGGGAAAACTGCAATACGCATGAAACTAGCATAGTGTTTGTCTTCCCCTGCTCCCCTTCGGTCTTAGCTTTGATGATATGACCTTCTCGAACCCGACAACGTTTTTTCAATTAGGTGTATATACATACAAAGAGATATAAGAAAAACCATTAAACTATCATAATATACATACAAAGAGAAAGTTTATGATGAAAATTATATATAAATATATAAAGGGAATATATATATATATATATTCAAAGGTAAACCAGCGCGTAAATCGTCCGAAATTTAAATCGCTGAAACTTCGATGGAACAATCTTTAAGGGTCTAATAATCACGGGTTAAATTTTTTTCTTTATATTAATGGAAAGTATTATGTTTTTACGAATTTCTATAGGTGTCTTTGACGTCATACACTCAACACTAAACATTGCTCAATACATTTCTTTGTAAATAAACTTTATGTTTTACTTTATTTCTTTTAAGCCCGTAAGTGCACTGAGGGACTTAACGTACATAACTTGTTGTGGCTAGAATCATTTAATGGCATTTTTTCTTCAATAGAGCGCATGCATTAAAACCATGAAATAAAAGCAAAGTTGATACTGACAAATAGTAGTCATTTAGTGACTAATAGTCGCTGTCACAATACACAAAGACAAATACTCAAGAGACCATTAGTGTCTTTTGTGTAGCGAATGTTCTGGTTGAGTAATAGCAACTATCAGGCCCCGTCCACACTATGCCGGATAAATTTGGATCCGCAACTTTCACACCGAAACCGAAAAAAACGTTTTATGTCCACACATGAAAACGGATAAAATGTTTCGCGTCCACACTAGTCCGATCAGAGGCGGCAAAAACGCTTAATTGCACATCTGAGCATGCGCATCGAAGCTGAAATTGAGCCAGCGGTCTAATTTTTAGCCTTCCCGCCATGTTCCCATGACAATCATGACATCATCGTATTCGAAAAATTTCGGATACGAAATGTTCTTCGCCCAAGCTAATACGGCTAGCCCGCGTTTTCAAATTGTTCCATTCTGGAGACCGTATTCGAAAAAAATCGTTTTCGGTGAAGAATTGCTCCGGATTCGCCCGGACTAGTGTGGACGGTAGGCCTAACCGAATAAATAAAAATTCGGATTCAAATTTATCCGGCATAGTGTGGATGGGGCCTGAGTCATTAAATAGCTATTATTTGTCAGTATCAACTTTGTTTTTATTTCATGATTTTACTGCATTCGCTCTACTGAGCATAAAACTAGCGGATATTTTGATTACGAAATAGAAAGAAATGTATGGAGAGATGTTTAATGTTGTGTAGGATTTCACAGACTCCTATAAAAATTCTCAAAAATATAATACTTCCCTTCCGAATATGAGGAAAAAACCTTAACCAATAATTATTAGACCTTTAAGGGTTATTCCAGTAAAGATTCAGCTGAATTCAAATTTGGACGATTTTCGTGCTAGAGCGCATGTATGGATTTACTGCATGCGCTCTAGTTAACGACCATTAACAACTATTCCACGAAGGCGAAGTGATTATCGGTGTGGAATATTTACCGAGCCTCGAGTCTTCGAGATCACCATAATCACTGAGCCTAATTGTCGGAACATTGCAACATTCCCAAGAGAGTTAAAATACAAAAACATGGCGGCCATTGTGCTACCGTTAACAATGGATGCTAATGAGAAATCTTTCGTTAAATGGTACCAACATGGCCGCGATGACGTAACGTGCAAACGAAGAATAGACTTGAAAATCAGGGATCACTTAAAATTCAGGATAAAAAACGTGTTACTATTACTTCCGACCTGGAAAACTTTGGAAAATCTCATAATCGTCTCAGAATCACCGGTTGCTCGACCAATCATAGCTCGAGAATCTTTATATTCTAAAATTATACTAAATAGATGTATCACACATTTAGGGTTGATATCCGTGTGATTAAGCCGTGAATAAAAACCACTTCAGTGAAGTGATACAATAAAACTGTAAACAAAACGGTTAGCTGGAAACTGGAAATTTTTTCATTTTATCGACCCTAAATGTGTAATAAACAAAATATGATATATTTTATCGTTTTCCATTTCATGTCTTTCACTCGCTCGCAGACTCGCTCGTTCGCGATTTGATATGGAAATTCGTGAATAAAAACGATATTAAGCTATTAAGATGTGATAATCTCTCTCTTTGTATTTTCACTTGGGCATTGACTAAATTAACCAGAAACAATGTGTGGGCCATGCTGCTTTACCTGCACCTCGTTTACGGGGTCAGTCGTCATAATGAACAACTACTCCAGTATTGGATCAAATTGGCTATGGGCAAATAAACATAGTCGTTTTAATAAATCTATATAACTAAAATGTACTATTTACAATTTTTCACTAATTATTTAATTGGCCCAGTAAAGATAGGGGGCTAAAAACGCCAAAGCGGTGGAGCAAGGGGAGGCGGTGGGCAAAAGGTTTAGATGTTGTCTCGTTGACTGCCAGCGTTGAATGGACGCCTATTGAAAGTCACGTGTACGCTTACGTATGACAGATGGGGGGTGAGCCACGTTGCATTCCCCTATAACCCACCGGATATCCTATGGTATTACGTAAGAATTAAGCTATACACGTGAACTTATTGTTCACAGAAAATAATATACAAAATAATATATAAAATATACATATGAAAACATAAAATTTCTTTTTGCCAGAAAATATTTTCTATATATAGATGAAATACAATTTTAGTGGATTTTTACTATTTAATGTTATTTCTAAGAATTCTTGCCAATGGTATTACCTTCACAAGATGGCCGCTCCATACATTTTAACCAAAAATTGCGTCATGTTTACTCGCCTCTAGTTCCGCAACGAAATGCTTTATAGCCTCGAAACTTGGCCAGAATATGAAGTTTTGACCGAATAACAAGATTATGAAGCTTTTATTTTATTATAATGCGAATTTACGCTTTTGAAATTCATGATGACGAAGAAGAAAACCAAGAATTAACATATATTACATAATTTATTCATCAATGTGACAGAGGAAAGGTGAAGAATATTGCAAGACACGAAGAAATTTAATGAACACTTAGTTATATCAATTTTGAAGTTCTTTTTTATAAAGACATGATTGGCTAGAAAATGACATCTCTCTTGTAATTGGCTCAAAATGATGCAGTCATTGTTGCAGGGAACCAATCAGATCGCAGGATTTGCTTGAGTGATTTCTAAGTAGTTTAGTAAAATTTTAAAACGGCCGAACATTATATCTAACTAAAAATGACTAAACGATAATCGATATTACCTGCTAAGCAGATGGTTAATGCAACAATACAGATTAAACAAAGCTTGAAAAACAACCTCCAAAACGAATCAATCTAAAAACATAAGAACAAAGGCAAAAAAATAAATAAATAATTAAAAAAAGACATTCAAGCAACACAGTGTTTATAAAAGGTTTCATTCTTTGGTAGGAAGAGTTTTGTTTTGTTTTGTTTTGAAGCTGACGTTAGCAGGAAGAAGCGTTTTGCACCTAGTTGCTATATAAATGCAAGCCATCTGTGAAACATGAAAAACTGCTTTGTATGCTTCATGACTCAAGTACTGGCTCTCTAAAGGTAAGAAGTACCATTAAGAAATCGAAATAGGCCTATACAAGTGTTTCAAGAATTTAAACTCCGATTTTTTGTAATTATGAATAGACATGGTTAAGCATCGCGTTTTGCCTTCTCGCCWTAGGAAGACATCAACGCATTTTCTTCGCGTTAATTCTGCATTTCTCTTTACCTTTTGCGGCAATCTCCCTAGCAAAGACAACTTTTCATCTGTTTAACGTTGCAACTTTATTAGGTAATATCGTTAATATATACATATCGTTTTCAAAAACGTTGTCGTGGGAAATGTGAGATGTGCGAGTTAAACGTAATGTTTGGGCGTTCTTAATATTCTGGCAAAAATAGTAGCAGTCTTTTAGAAAAATCAGTAACAACAAGACAAACATTTTAAAACCTAATAGCTTCAAATTCAACCTTCATTTTTTGTGCTCAGAGCTCAACTACTAAATCCATGGGAAAAAAACCCCAAAAATTAAAATTTTTATCATGGAGTAATATTATTTTATTTGGTGAATACTGGGATGGGCTATTAGATATTTGCGTGAGTGATTGCAGGAATTTACGTTGCACGATATTTCTTTTTTGTAACAAACCCTGAACGCAATGTTGTGTGTTGAGGAGAGGTTGCGCGATAATTCACCTTATGTAGAATCAATGCTGAAGATAACGATGAATTTCGGTGCATGTTATAAGCAGAGGCGTATCAATAAGCCTATGAACATAAAGAAACGGAAATCCAACCTTTTAGAATAAAAATTCACAACGTCACCTGCGATAAAGAATTTCCACCCAGGAAGCCCGAAAAAACGTTTTCATTAACAATTATTCGCCGAAGGCGAAGCCCCGAATATCGGGGAATATTTACAGAGACACGAGTGTTCGAGCGGAGAGGTAAATATTTAAATAGTAGTTTTCACTTTCAAAATGTTCATACATGAAAATGATAAGGAAACGAGTATTTTCAGCCATAGTTGCTTTGGTCCATTGTGCAGGGTCAGTACCACGTGATGGTACGGTTCAACCTCACACGCAAAACAATAGCTTTGTTCTATGGAGTTTCCAAACCATTCCGTTCCATTAACTATTTACAACGACAACTAGTAAAAAAAAAAAAAAAAAAAATTCGATGCATTTTTAATATTTGACGCTGAATTTTGGTAAGGCTCATCCGCAGTACTTGGAAATAGATATGTGAAAAATTCAAGGCAATCTATTCAGTGGTAATCTCTACAGCGCGATGTTTAATATGCTTCAAATTTTTGATCGAATTTTCAAGCGGCGTCATAATAAAACTTTTCTTTTCTGCCAAAGACTTCCTATCCAAGGCTGCATTAGTACTAGGTGATAAGATTCTGAAAGTTTCAGAAAAAGCGTACCTGAGGACTGATGAGGAGAAAAAAGTCAAAAACTAAAAATAGCACAGTTTGATTTTCGGCCGTAATTAAGCTAAACACTTTTTAAAATCTTGGAATAAAATACACTGTTAGAATCTAGGATAATCCAAGCACATTATATGAAAAAATCAGTTAAATTGACGCAATAGTTTTGCGAAGCGAGCGAGAATAAAACTGTATAAAATTTGCTCTGAGTTAGTTTGGTTCCACCTTAGTACAGCAAATGTTGCCTTGCTGATAACCCAATAATACGGACACCTGGTTATAGCGTACAGGAGCAAAATCCCCGAGGAGTTTTACAAAAAAAAAACCTTAATTAACTGTCATTACTACGGTCTCTCGCTTTTACATACGTGGGAATTATGGGAATTACATTCACCGATATTCACTTCGCCTGTGATGAATAATTGTTAAGAATATAAAATCCCATGCAAAATTTGAGAGTTAAAATGCGATCAAATTAACCATTTAATGGGTGACTAAAAATCCTAGTTACATAATTTTTTAGATTCAAGCAAAGGTTGAGAATGCGATAAAAGCGACTACCATGGTTCCGAATCGGACAAAACGCCAATTACCGTTGCAGCAGTTTTCCTAGAGAAATTAAAATCTTGATAATACGCAATCCGAATCTTTAATTAGAATATTTTGTTTCCAAAACAACCACACTGTATCTGTTTTAGAGGCAATTTTATTTTATTTTTACAGGACGGTAAATAATTCATTATAAATTTTTCGCGTTCAGAGTTTAAATTTTTTTAAATATTTTGATTCTAGCTAATTTGTTGAGCTTGTACGCGGCCTGAGGGGAATCGGGAACATGAATTGAATGTCGTGTCAAAAGCCGTGTTATGTAACTTTTTGAACAAAGCTTGGGCTTAGTTTTAGAATGGGATCAACGTGACCATTTAATGACGACTCAAACGTCATGATAAGTTATGTAACAATTTAGATTCAAAATAAAGGTTTAGGATGATAATAAAAACGTTGTTCGTCTTTATTTAGAGGGGTTGACACGTGACAGATGCCAACTTAGCACTGACAAAACTTGTGAGACGGGACCGCCATTTTCCGTGGTCGTCCAAGCCACGGCGAGGTCTAACCATTTGCAGATATTTTTAAAGGATAAACAGTGAAAGCACCTAATACTCAGATATTTATTTAAGGCCCTGAGTGTTGATCTGGCTGCAGAGGCTTGAATCCACGACCTCCAGCACAACAGATCATGAGGCGGTTAGGGTGTGATAAAAGTGACCATTGAATGGCGACTTAAAAGCCGTGCTTCATAACGTTTGAGATTGATGCAAAAAGTTTAGAGTAGAATCAATTTGATCCCTGATTGGAGAATCAAAAGGTTTAAATTCCCTGGGTACGGCTAACTCACAGATTGAACCCTGAAACAACCTCTTGCCTGATCTAAGTCAGGGCACGGCTAACTCACAGATAGAACTCTGAAACAACCTTTTGCCTGATCTAAGTCAGGGCACGGCTAACTCACAGATTGAACCCAGAAACAATTTCTGGGCTGGTCTATAGCTAAGTCAGTCAGGACATGGCTAACTCACAGATTGAACTAAAAAAGGGCCTCTTTGGGCTGATCTAAGTCAGAGCACAGCCAACTCACGAAGGTTTGCTATATCTTGAAAAATACATGCAATGTGGCATTTTGCGATTGATATATATTTTGCGTTTTAGATCTACCATGTCCGGTCTGTATGCCGATAACAAAGCTGCCCAGTATGGGGTCACTACCGCCTTCACCTTTCTAGTTGTAACGGACCTGATCGGAAACACCCTGGTCATACTGATCATTCTGACCAATAAATCCATGAAATCACCAATGAACTACCTCCTGATCAACCTTGCTGTTGCCGACATGACGTTGGGAGCCTTCATGTCACCGCGTGTAATCCTGAGCCATTTTTTTACCCATCCTGACGGCCTGATAGGGAAGCTTTTGTGCAAATTCCTAACCGGAGGAAACGTTGCATGGATTGGTGGTGTTGCCTCGGTGGCAACTCTAATCATCATCTCGTTCGAGAGGTATATTTCTGTTGTGTACCCCTATTCTACAAGGTACAAGCTAACGATACCGAGAGTCAAGCGGATTGTCCCAGCTTGCTGGATTTTGGCCGTTCTGGTTTGCGTTCCCTTATTCCTGTCAGTAGAGTATAACGTCAAAAACGACTCCTGCATCTACGTCTGGCCCAACGACCGTGTAGCTAAGGCGAACATCATATTCTGGGTGATCACTTTTGGATTGGTTCCTGTCTTTATTATGCTTGCCCTCTACAGTAGAGTCATCCACAGGCTTTGGTTTAAGCACACCAACGCCTCAAACGGCACCCAGCTGGCGATACTGAAATCCAGAAAGAGAGCTACCCAGATGATGGTCACCGTGAGCATTGTCTATGCTTTCTGCTGGCCTCCTTTCAACTTCATTGGCCTCATCCATAACTTTGGAAAAGGAATGAGCTTCGCACAAGTCTCTCGCATAAGCAGCCTTGTCCTGGTTACCTTCAACTCAGCCATCAACCCTTTTATCTATACTTTCCAGAGCGAAACGTTTAGACGCTGTTTGAAGAAGCTAGTGTGTGGAAGTAAACGACGGAATCGTGTGTCACAAGCTGATGCTGGGAGACAAAAAAATACGCAGTTGCCTCCAACACCAAACGTTACTAGACCATAATGACGGAAAAGAGAGATGATGGAAGTGAGCGAGAACAGCAACAGCAACAGCAACAGCAACAGCAACAGCAACA